TATAGTATAAACAAAATCAACCACGATATTCACAATTGGAACTCACAGATGGAAATCCCCTACCTATGAAGCTACCTTGGCGTTTTCGAGGTTGTGCAAACCCTTACTTCACTGTTCAGAAAACAGGCAGTAATAATTTTAAATTATCAAAAGTTTTCAACATTTACACTTATAGAATTTCCTCGTATCGTCAATTATTGTCAAAGGTTTATGTTGTTCATAACTTCTTCATTTAAGTATGAGAAATATTGTTATCCGAAAATTTCAAGTTGAAAATAACATTTTCAATCTCTATTATTTAAATTGTTTCTACATCAGAATAGAAAACAAGAGACAAAAAAGAAATTTACCAAAAGCCAAAAATTAAGTACGCTTCAAATTTGAAGCAACTCCGCAAATATAAGAATATTTTCAAATATTAAATATATATCAAGTAGTATGTTTTAGGGTGTTCTGGGTCCCCCGCAAATCCCGTAAAACCCATTAACCCGCCTGCCCTATAGTCTATCGCGTACGCGCCCGGCAATGCCCGGCAGTGCCCTTCCCCTCCCCCTCTCATCCATGACCATCACGTACATACCTAACCATCTATACATACCCCCCCCCCATTTCATAAAAAAAATTATATCTTGATAAGTATTGAATAAGTAAATTAAATAATAACGTTTAAAGTATAATATGATTGGAATATTATGTAAGAATAAATTAACCATCAGTTAAAATATGATATTGTGAAATATGAAAGTATACAAATTTCAATTACTGTTTAATGATTTGTGTGTAGTAAACAAAACTATTAACTAATGAGATAGTGTAAATGTAAAATTTTATTAGTTTCACTTTAATGATTTTTAACTTTTACTAAACAAGCTTAATAAATCATACTCGTTCTTATATTTCAATATAAATGTGTATAGTGGCGTTCAAATGTCATTACCAACAACAATAATATTAGCTAGTATTTTTTCTGTTTACACATTCAAACAAAACTCATTAAAACAATTACATTAATATTAACATGATGGAATAAGTTTTATAATATCTTAAATATAGATATTTAATATGTTATGATATATATTATGAAAAATAGAAATTTTTCACACGTCCTAATAGGGAGTTAAGAAATATCATATATAAGAGATCTGATTTTACTTAAAGGAGTCATTCTGTTCTTCAAGCTCTTGAAAACAGGTTTTACTATTGTTCTTAGTCTAGTGTTTATTACATATTAGTAAAAAATGTTCAAGTGTGGTGTTTGTGCTAAAGTTTTCACCGCAAAGTCTAGTATGTTGAGACATACAAAATCTCACGATCAGATTAAATTTCCATGTCTCGAATGCCAACAAATGTTCACTCGTCGAGATCATCTCGTTGACCACGTGCAGAAAAAACATGGTATGTATTTTATTTTAAAATAATTTGAAAAAATTCTAATATTAATAATAATTCGAGTAACAATATCCTAGCTAGTTTATTTTAACAATCAAGAATTATTCACTAATATACGTTTCTATAAAATAGTATAATATTATATAAATATAATAGTAATATCTTAGTTTAATTTAGTTATTTAAAATGAATATTCCATAGTTAGTTTATATCATCAATTAAGAATTATTCACTAACATACGGTTCTATAAAATAGTATAAAAACTATATGAATATGAAATTATATAATGAAAATAGTAAATATTACCACTGATAAATTATTCACTAGTTTAAACTAATTATGTAAATATTATCACATAATGACATACCTCTGATACTATAATCATATTATTTTTTTTTTTCAATAGGTTTTATTAAATATAGTGCAGAGTATAATTTAGCAATGGGTAATACAATCATGCAACTATCATCAGGTGAATAATAATTATATTACACTATATTAGAATAATGATATTAATATTATCGTTATTATTAATAATAGGTTCCACGTCACATACATCGAAAGTGGTTAGTCAACCTACACCACAAGATCTCATCACTCATAGTTCTACGGGTAAACGGAGGAATAAAAATGCTCAACATAACAAAATTAAACTTAAGAAAACTCGTATGGGGCTAGGTAATACACCGGGTTTTAATGAAATCGACTCCTCGCTAGATCGAACAACTGTTTGGTATTATAGGAGTAATGTTGAGAATATGATAGGATATCAAACTTTTCTCAGCTCATTAAAACCTGAACTAGTTAGAAAACTTAATAATTTTGCTTGTATTAAACCAATTAAATATAATTTAAAGTTGGAGGCAACTTATTCACATAAAGAGTTACCCTCCGAGAATCGATCGTTTAAAACATCAGCAAGAGAGCTTTATTCATATAGCGATATAAGTACCCTGGTGGATGATGATTTCGCAATATTATTAGCTGAGGAAGATGTGTATATGAGGAAAGGAAGTGGATTTACGTTAGCTTCGATTGATGGTATATTGTTGGGCGTATACGAGTATACTCCTATGGGTGGCTCATCATATATACCACTCCCGGAGAGTATCTCTAAAAAAAAGGGTGTTATCAACCCGAAAAATATTGACGAGTGTTGCTTCAAGTGGGCGATTTTAGCACGACACGCTAGTGGGAATAACCGTTGTAGGGTTGATATAAATTACTTTAACGAGGAGCATCGGTATGATTTTTCAGGCTTAAGCTTCCCTGCCCCCATTTCAGAAATTCCGATATTTGAAAAACGTAATGATGACACGACAGTAAATGTATATGGTTTGAAATTCGTGAAATCTACAATGCAACATGTAGTATACCCATTAAGAGTTATCGATTCAGAAAAAACAAATCATTTTGATCTTTTAGTGCTTGAACGTGGTGAACAGTCGCACTATACATATATTTCGAATTTTTCGAGACTAGTAAGGAGACAAAAAACATTACATAAGGGTCGTCTTTGTATATGCAAAAGATGTTTTACTGGGTTCGATGAGCAAATTAAAAAATGTAGATTATCCGGGAAAGCTGCGCTCGAGCAACATATGAAAATATGTGGACTTAATAAAGCAATATTTCCGATTTTACCCCCTGAAGGAGCTACACTTAAATTTAAGGCGTGGGAGAAAGCTCAACGGGTACCTTTCGTAATATATGCCGATTTTGAGGATCTTCTTGAGAAAAATACTGAGCACTTGGGGGGAAATACGAAGGGTGTACATACACATACCCCAATGAGCTATGGGCTCCTCGTGAAGGCATCAGATGACGTACCGTTGGAACTCTTGGAACGATACAACATTCCACAGACTCCAGTTATTTTCCGAGGATCAGAGTCAGAGAACACTGTGGCCAAGGATTTCGTGACTAATTTGGTTACGATTGCCGATAGACTGAGTAAGTTGTTGAAATCAACCAACGTACCGATTGTGATGACTGAAGAACAGCGGCGGATACATAATGCTAAGAGTGAATGCGATTTCTGCAAAACACCATTCGGTGGAAAAATGATTAAAGTAGCGGATCACAATCATCTCACAGGTCTTTTTAGATATACGTTATGCACCAAGTGTAATTTAAATCTCAAGACAGTTGACTTCGTACCCTGCTTTATGCACAACTTGTCTGCATATGATGCACATTTCATTGTCACAGAACTCGGTTATGACACTAACACGATATCCTTAACACCGAATAGTGAGGAGAACTACGTATCTTTCTCCAAACGTGTGAATGATGACTTCACTATAAGGTTTTTAGATTCATGTAGGTTTATGGCTTCAAGCCTTGAGTCTCTAGCGGAGAACCTCACCACAAGCGATCTGGAAAAGTTTCGAGAGACCGCCAAATTGTTTCAACCTATGGATATGCCCCTAGTCACACGGAAGGGAGTGTTCCCATATGAATATTGTGATAAATGGTCTAAACTCGAGGAATCCACCCTTCCATCAAAGTTTGATTTCTACAGCGCTTTAACGGAAACACATGTCAATGAGGAGGACTACAGTCACGCTACAAAGGTGTGGGATCACTTTAATTGTACATCACTCGGCGACTACAGTGATTTATATTTAAAAATCGATGTACTTCTACTTGCGGACATTTTTGAAAATTTCCGTGATATATGTATGAAAACGTATAATCTCGATCCAGCGTACTATTTCACTGCACCCGGATTCACATTCGACTGTATGTTGAAATATACCTCAATATCGTTAGAGTTATTAACAGATTACGATATGATTTTGATGATGGAGAACGGAATAAGAGGAGGGTTAGTGCAAGCCAGCGAACGTTATTGCAAAGCGAACAACCCGAAAACGGAGGGGTATGATAGTGGAGCACCACCATCATGGCTTGTGTACCAAGATTGTAATTATTTATTTTTATTAAAGTATTCCACAGGAGGAGGAGCTTTATTATTTTTAATTATTATAGGTAACAACCTTTACGGGTGGGCTATGAGCCAATATATGCCGTATGGAGGATTCAAGTGGTGGGATGGTGATATGGATCAATCACTAAAGCTATTGGATGGTATGAATGAGACGTCTGAAATGGGGTGTGTCTTTGATGTAGACATAACCCAGATAGCTTACATGAAAAACATAATGACTTACCGTTTCTCCCACGAAGTAATACACCACCCGGGTCGAAGGTGTGTAAACTAATGGCTACACTCGAGGGGAAACAACGATATATTGTAAATTATCTCAATTTGAAACAAGCGATAGAAAATGGATTAGTCGTTGATAAGGTAAGATGTATTAATTACATTTTTATCTTATTATTAATTTCAGTCACACGCTAGTAGTCTAACACATTATTTATTTGTAGGTACATAGGGTGTTGGAATTTAAGCAGTCGCCTTGGTTAACTCAGTATATCGAGTTGAATACAGAGATGCGAAAGATGGCTACTAATAATTTCGAGAAGGAGTTCTATAAACTGATGAACAATGCTGTATTCGGTAAATATATAAACAATATATTTATTAATCACTTGTAACTAACATTGTTATTATTATTATTATTATTATTATAAAGGTAAGACAATGGAATGTGTTAGACGGAGAATTGATTTGAGACTCGTGTCATCTCCTAAAACGATGAGGAAGTTGATTAACCGTCATACATTTAAACACTGTACGCAATACAACAATAACCTGACAGCAGTCTCATTAGAAAACAAAGTTATTAAATTCGATAAACCGATATACATCGGATTCGCAGTGTTGGAAATTAGTAAAACATTAATGTATGACTATCATTATAACGTCATGCAGCGACATTATAATGATAAAATTAGGTTGATGTATACAGATACAGGTACCTATATATAACCCAGAATAATAATTATCATAATACAAGATGATTATTACAATAATTACACTGTTACAGATTCACTGGTATATCGGATAACGACTGAGGATTTTTATAAAGATGCTATTGATAATCCAATCCTCCTAAATCGTATGGATACGTCAAATCTTCCTAGAGATCATCCGTGTTATGTAGGTACCCGTGCAAGGATACCAGGATTGTTCAAGGACGAGACAGAGGGTAGAGTGATGTCTGAATTCGTAGCACTCCGAGCAAAGTCATACTCATACAAAATCGCTGGGTGGGAGGCGATTGTGGCTAAAGGTATTCGAGGACATGTAGTCCGTAACCACCTTACCTTGGATGATCATAAACGTTGTCTGTTTGAGAACGATAATAATGATGATGATGATGATGATGATGATAATGTTGATAATGGTGGGGAGGATAAGGTTAATGAGGATGTTTTCACCGATGATGATGATGTTGATTACAACTTCGGTGGTGGTGACGATGTGGAGTGGAAAGATAGAGAAATGAAGAGGAATGCACTTTTAGGTTTCCAATCCGTCATCAGAATGCTACCGCCACCACAGACGATAATCAATCTTCTACGATTCAACTACCACCCTACACTCCATATACACCATATAGAGTGAATATGTCCATCCGCTCGTTTAAACATCAAGTCAAAACGATTAAGTCGTTAAAAAAGACGCTTAATCGTTTCGACGACAAACGAGTTGTTAGCGAGGATCGGATACATACACTTGCATATGGTCATTACAAATTACGTATGGTGTGATATTATATATATTGTATTTTATAGAGTTATGTAAATAATAAAAAAAAAAATTCATTGTTATATAATAGTGTTATGTTTATTATTATTAAATACATATGGTATAAAGTATAGTGAAAAGTGTATGTATCGATATTAAACTAAATCCGTGTTGAGCTGATACGTCTGCTGAGAGTGACCGTGCCGTGCCGCGCCGTGTCGTGCCGTGCCGTGCAGCACCATGCCTTGTATTATACGATTTAAGAATTATTTATAAACCATTTACGTATGGTGAAAACTTTGTAAAATGTACATTGTTTGGGGTTGAATTCTATGTGATAAATACAGCAGGGTAGAGTCCCATCACCGCCACATATTTGATCCAATCGAGGACAACCCAAGTCTTCAATATTGATGAGTGCAACGTGTGGAATATATTCCATAAGAAGTTGTTTTTTCTGCTCACCCTTCACGTAAATGCAATCGAATTTCAGTGAATTCAATATCCGACCGAGTTCCTCGTACTCGACATCACCGTACTCCAGAGATAGTTGATGATAGTTACATTCAAGCCATCTATTCGTTTTTCGACTCTTGTTGTCCTGTTTAGAGCTTGAATTCTTAAAAATCCAGTGTTGGCACGCCCAAGATTCCGTGTCTACTACAGACATTTCTTTTATCATATATTTATTGTCAGCTCCGAGAACGCACTGAATGTCAGCGATAGCCGACATTATTTTCAATTAACTTTTATTCTTAAATATTATAACTATCTTCGATGGTTTTCAAACGTTTTTCCAGGACTGAAATAAACGACGCTAGATCCGATAAAGGTTTTCTGATACGACTTTCCGACTCCAATAGAGATTTTGTACTTTGCCGAATATCACCTTCCAACGATTTCATCTTTAATTGTAGGTCTGTGATTTCACCTTTCAGAGTACCTATTTCCGACTGTAGTAGCTTTGTATCGTATAGAATCGTTTTGTTACTCAATTGAATACGTGAAATAGTATTTTTCCTACGTCCGTCGAGCGAGTTATTGAAAATATCCATAATCAATATACATGTTGTCCTAACGAATTGTATTATACTACTGAAGTGAGTTTTCAAGCACCTGTAGTGTAATTAACCCCACTTTTATGTGTGGAGGGCACATCCATAAGGTCATCGAGTGTAAACAATTAATTTTTCTTCATATAATTTTCTTCAATATTTTTCACACGTGTATGTAACTCTGAAATATAGGCACCGTGATTCGATAGGGAATTTTCATGGAATTCTCCGGTTATATAGCCTACTATATCATTTAAACGAGCGACATCATTTCGAGTTATAGTTATTATTGTGCTAATTTCCGCATACCTATTGAATAGTTCCGAAACACGGCTCTCGAGGTTTAATAAAGACTTATTACATTCGTGTATATCATTTTCTCTTAATTTTAATTTCACTTCGATATCTATAATATTACTTTTCAATCCATCTATTTCTACCTTCAGTACTTTTACATCGTATAAAATTGTTTTATTACTCGAATGAATGTGTGAAATTGTATTTTTTCTACGTCCGTCGAGCGAGTTATTGAAAATATCCATAATCGATAAACTGCATGTTACCCCTATGAATTGTATTAAACTACTGAGATAGGTTATCACAATTTAAGGTCACTAGCTTTCAACCAACTATTATGTGACGCATCAAACCCCAACCACTTTACGAACACTTGATTACCCTTTCTACGTAAAATTCGCTCGATTAAATATTCATTTCGGTGGTTAGTCTTGTGTATTTCCTCGGAATAAAAACAACCTGCAATCGGTTTCCCCGTATAATCTTGCAACTGATAAGTAACGGGTAGTGTTTTATTTATTTTGATAACCTCGAATATTTCCGTAGACCAGCTGGGTAAATAACCTTTTGTAAACACCCCTTTTTGGGTGCTAATCCTCACGTTATCACCAACTTTGAACTTAATTTTTACATTATTAATTTCACGCTGCTTTATTTTCACCGTAAGGGGGTCGGTATCTGCTTGTATCGGTGTCATTCCAATAGTTCTGTGCTTCGAATTATTATATTCTTCGAGCAACTTCGGTAGAATAGAAATCCATTCGTGAGAGCCTCGCGCAGTAAACTCTCTAAACATTTTTTCTTTTAACGTACGATTGAAACGTTCAACAATACAAGCTTTCATGATACTGTATGTAGAATATTTGTGTATGTTATATTTATCCATCAACTCATCGAATGTATTGTTATAAAATTCTTTACCGTTATCCAATTGCAAAAGTTTTGGCGAGCGATCGTGTAATATTTTAGACATAACACTAGTAACTTCTTTACCTGTTTTTGTTTTCAACGGTACAGCCCATGCAAATTTGGTAAAACAATCAATTACGCATAAAATATACTTGTAGCCTTTGTTTTTCCTCGAATATGGTATCATTTCAACCAAGTCAGCTTGCCACAAATCATTTTTTCCATATACGTTAACTCTACGCCTCGTGAAATTTTTCCTTGCCGGCTTGTGAAGTTCAATAGCAATTTCACGTTTAGACATTTGGAATTCGTTTAATTAACCCTGCCTCGTGTAATTCCTCGAAAATAGATATTATTTCGTTGGAAACACCTGTATTACCAGCTGACTTTGACGCTAGAAGTAATCGAAGTCTGTCAACCAATTCGTTGGGATCGTTCCAATACACTAAGTTGTTTTTCTGTACTTTCATAGACACCCCACCACCACCACCAACAGTCGGGAAAAGTTTACTTATTATATTTTTATATTTTTTACAAGTAGTATTCCTAATTTTTAAACCACCTGCAGTTAAATACGCTGACGTTTGGATTAATATCGATTTATATACCTTTAAATCGTTATCCGTATAGATAAAAGGATTTTTTAAAAATAATAGTTGAATTAGACCCGAGGTTGTTGGATAAGTAGCCCCATCGATAAGTATTATGTTTTGAGTGAATTTCACTTCTTTATCGCCCAAGGTGATATCGTCGTTTGCGAGTTTTTTCGGTCCGTATGTTCTATCTATATCCTTTGATTGAAACAAATTTTCAATTTCCAACTGATAGTTATCATAACTAGCCTCATCAGTATTGATAATTTCAGAATCTATTCCAACATCGACTTTCCTAGTTTGATTGGTGTATAAATCACGTGTATTCGATATTTTAGTCAAAGGATCTATAATTGGTTTGAATGTCTGTGCCATTAACTGTTGAACGTTAGCTTCACCAGTTTTTAGCGTAGTATATTTACGTTTTATACTCTCCTTAGCCCGTACCAACTCCTCTAATATATTACTGTCCTCTTTCATGACTGCGTTTTAAATGATATTTTCTGTTATATACACTGACTTATATAACCACATAGGTATCAAACCCGAATCGATAGCGTCCACTATCACGTTCACTGTCTTTACAAATAACTACAAATGCAAACCTATCACGGTTCCAGCACATTGTACAAAATTGTTTGAATTGAATATATGACATATCACCGGAACAGTGTTCATTATATACATGTTTTAAATTAGTTTCGTCTTGCTTGAACAGTATAATTAAATTAGCGTTGTCACGTATCAGTTGTTTAGGTACTTTTGAATAACTCTGAGCTAGATAGAATATATCTACTTTATTATGCCTCCCTCTGGAAAAATATTCCCTAATAACACCTTGCTGTTCCCCGATAACATCGTCCATGATAAATATAGAGTTTGGTAATACTTTTTCAGGTGTGATGACTTTGTCATTCTCGAAAAATGTAAACAGTTTAACTCCATCAATACCATCAATTATACGTTTCAGTAATTTATATTTCGGTTGTTCTAGGGTTTTCGAGTATATGTAAACGTTTTCAAATCGAAGCCCGTTTTCATCGACAAGTAGAAAGTATATCAAATTCGTTTTTCCACACCCCGAGCTTCCAAGCACTAACGATCTAATTGTATTCGGGAATAGCTCACCGTGTTTAAATTGTATTGTATCGGGGGTATCAATGTTGTAAATTCGAAGTTTTTTCTCTTGCTCGATAAAACGCATTTTCATTTACCCCCTATATATATAGATGTACTGTCTATGATAGCGTCACACGATGTCTCACGTTCGTAAACGAAACAGTAATAAGGGTTCCAGCCTTGTCAACTCGGTAATAAACCATTTACCTGTAGAACTACATTTACCTGGTTATAGGTAAGTCACTACACTATATTATTAGATCAACCCCAATTTAAAATATAACTATTTCCAGGTTTGCTGGTCCTGGAACGAAATTAAAAGAAAGGCTAGCACGCGGTGATCGAGGAGTAAACAGCTTGGACGAGTTGGCTAGAGCTCACGATATCGCTTATGATAGGATTAATTCACTAACTGATAGACATAGGGCTGATGAAATATTAGAAAATCAAGCTTGGGAGGTGTTTAAATCTAAAAACAGTGGTATTAAAGAAAAAGCTGCTTCCTGGTTGGTTACTACAGCTATGAAAGTTAAACGTAAGATGGGAGCAGGTTGTGGATTCAAACGAATGGTTATGGCTGCTAAAAACTCAATCAAAAATAAAATGAAAGAAAATAATGTAACTAAACTGATAAGAACTTGCCTGACAGCGGCTAAAAAATCGAAAACTAAGAGAACTAAAACTCCTAGAGTTATACCGATTCCGAAAAAAGGAGGGATTTTACCATTGATACCTATATTTGCTGGTTTATCCGCATTAGGTGCGCTTACTGGTGGTATTGGAAATATAGTAAAAGTCATGAATGATTTAAAATCCGATAAAAACACTCCTATTCATTTAGGTAAGGGTTTATACCTCACACCATACAAGGGGGGTTCTTATGAAATCGTAAAAGGTAAAGGTTTATACCTTACACCTTACAAAGGTGGTTCGGTGGTGAAGAAATCTAGAAAACCGACAAAAAACTAATTGCTACGTTACCCAATAGAGCATTGTATGATTATGAGATTATAAAATACATTGACTTGCTGAAAATACCTCATTTCATTGGAGTATTTTCCAGAGACAAGTTGCCTTTACATTATAAACATCAAGAGTCGGCTATAGTTAATTTGGATATCGAGAAGGGTGAAGGAACTCATTGGGTAGCGTATAAAAAAATCGGTAAACAAGTTAAATACTATGATAGCTTTGGAAATTTACCTCCACCACTAGAATTACAGAAATATTTCAACGGTTGTAATATCGAATACAATTACGATAAACATCAGAAATACAATACAACAAACTGTGGTCATTTGTGTCTACGATTTTTATCATGTACACTATAACGTTGAACGGGAACTCCAGCGAATTATCATGTGACTTTTTCCCACCGATAGAAGTCAGTAAAAATGCTAAGATTTGCCTATTAGGATTTCAAACAAACAATTCTATTCCTAATATAAATAGTAAGTGTGATCAAATAGGTTTTATAAATAAAAATGATATGGATCGTTCAGCCCGTCAAATTTACTCATTACCCACAGGTTCTTATGAATTGAGTGAAATCGAGGCGGTTATAAAACATATATTAACTGATTCAAAGATATCGTTTGAATTAAAGGGGAATAATAACACTTTGAAATGTGAAATGTTATGTAGTGAATCTATAGATTTATCTATGCCTAATAATATAGGTGAACTGTTAGGTTTTGAAAAACGTGTATACGAAGCTAATGTTAAACATCAATCGGATAAGTTGGTGAATATTACAAAAACAAACTGTATATATATCGAATCAAACTTAGTTATGGGCTCATTCAACAACGGGAAGCAGTGTCATACAATACACGAGTTTTATCCAAATGTACCCCCTGGTTATAAAGTGATAGAGATTCCAACACATTTGGTTTTTTATTCTATCAATTGCACATCTATTACGCATGCAGAGATAACTTTAAAAAATCAGGATAGCGAGTTAATCGACCTACGCGGAGAACCAGTATCAATACGATTATTAATTAAGGACCTGTAATAAAATGGGTATACAGTTTTATAATATAAATAGTCGGGTATATGAAAAACCTCGTAGTCGTGTTAGTGACATTATCAAGTCAACAACTCTAAAGAAAAAAAATAAATTGAGATACAATAAAGTGGGGGGTAGCCTAACAGCTGAAAATTTGGCTTTTCTTCACTCGTTAAACGCTGTTTAATATGGACGATATGTAATTGAATGTATCGGCTGGATATGTCGACGATTGTAGGATAACTCAAATTGACTATCATTCTTTTCTCCCTTATTCAACATCTGCCCTCTCCAACAACGATGAAGTGCGTATTGCTTTACATAACACAGAGTCGTATACTTTACCGTGTGAAAGTTATATCTATATCGAGGGGATAATAACTAAACCTGTTGAAATAATAGACGACGTTAGATTTATAAACAATGGGCTTGCATTTCTTTTCTCTGAAATGAAATACGAGTTGAATGGGATTCAAATTCAGAAACTCGCCAACCCTGGTATAACTACAACATTGAAGGGATATTGCTCGTATAATAAGTCGGACATTGTTTCACACCATAACGCTGCTTGGGGTGATGATATTAAAAATGTTAATAATGACTTTATCGATAGCGGTATGTTTAACGGGTGTATTAACCTCAAAGATTTGTTTGGTTTTTGCGAAGACTATAAACGTATTTTAATAAACTGCAATCAACAACTGATATTAAATAGGGCGTCATTAGATATAAATGCGGTTAAGCAATACAAAAATAATGAACTTGTTACAGAGGCGCTTAAACTGAAAGACGTTAAAATAAACGTCACCAAAATATTGTGGAGAATGCCTATAGTCAAGGTTAGCGATAAGGAAAAAATACAGCTGTTGAAAGTAGTGAACCAACAGAAACCTCTAAAATGTGCGTTTAGATCATGGGAGTTGTGTGAATATCCGTTTATACCTCAAAACACTTCACATTCATGGAAAGTAAAAACATCGAACAAATTAGAAAAACCACGGTATGCTATAATCGGATTTCAGACCGATAGGAAAAACAGTATGAGTAAAGCAATGTCATATTTTGATCATTGTAAAATCAAAAACTTGAAGGTTTATTTAAATTCCGAAGTATTCCCCTACGAGGACTTCCAAAGTGACTTTACAAAGAACAAGACGGCTACACTATACCGTGCATATGCAGAGTTCCAGAAATCATACTACGCTCGTGATAATGTTACACCTCTATTGAGCCGATCGGATTTCAAAAAACTATCACCAATTATCGTTGTTGATATGAGCAGACAAAATGATAATGTAAAAACTTCGACTGTCGACCTTAGGATTGAAATCGAGACCGAAGAAGCGTTTCCACCATCGACTTCAGCATATTGTTTGATATTGCACGATCAAATTATAACTTACAATCCATTTAATGGTGAAGTAAGAACATTGTAAATATTGATTATAAAACTTAATATTAATAAATTAAAAAATACTTTTTATATAATATCATGTATTTTTATTTCACATAAATTATTAATTCATACAATTGTTAAAAAGAGTTTGCTCTTTTTATTCCATGTAATGGGTTTTGGAATGTGGCATACGTTAATTGATGATGTGGAGGTTGCGTGTTGAAATAATCAGGACCATCGTTAACATCAAATGATTGTAGTAGATCGTGAATTGAATCGTTTGGCTGAAAAAAAAAAAAAAAAAAA